GCTGTCGCCGCCGCCACCGCCACCTCGCCGCCTCAGCCTGGCGGGGGGGAGGAGAAGGAGCAGCAGGCCTCCGGGCCCCGGCACCGCCGCCCGCAGGTAACGGGGAGGGGAGGGGAGGGCGAGCGGGCCGCCGGGCCCGAGGGGGGTGGCCAGCCACTGCATGCCGCCCGGGGACTGACACCACGCGTCCCCCACCCGGGAGCTGGAGGGAAAGGAAAGCCTGGTCTGTCACTCCCATCCGCGCCGTGAAACACCCCACAGGGTGCCCTCAGTGGCATGTAATCCTTCAGAAAGGAGACTGGCTTTGGACCCGGCAGTCCAGGAGGAATTACCCCGATTTTCCAGGGTGCTCCCCGTCATTTGCACGCCCGTGTACCCAACCCCCAAAGCAGGCAGAGGTGTTACCCCCCTCACCTGACCGAACCGAGGAGCCTGAGACCTGGTTTTTTCCTCCTCTACCCTGCTGCTTTTTCTCTGGTACTGGAAAGAAAAAGATGGCACTTCTTTAAAAGAATTTTTTTTTAAAAAAAATACCCCTTTTTCTTCCCTACCTGAAGATCACTCTGCATCTAGTCATTTTACTGCCGGCCTAACCAGAAAAAGGAGTTACCTGCAAGTGAAATAAGTATGTTTGAACTGATGAAAGAAAATTGCATCCGACTGAGTTCTATGAATCTTAACCAGAATTTAGAAGAAAGCCCAGGAATTGTGTACTTTTTTGGAGCTTATTTATAGAAATGGGGGCAAAAACTTAATTTCTTTTTTAATATGTAAGTAAATTATCTGTTATGGTCAGGGAAAAATTCTCTTTAACTTCCACTTATTTTCTTAGTGTTTTATTCAGAAATAGGCTCATCCCAAAAGCAAACTACACAATTTGATAGATACCAAAAGAGTTTGGATAGGTTAAGATTTTGATGATTTCCTTTTGCCTAGGGTTTTAGTTGGAATTCTTGGATTTAAAAAAATACTGTATAAATTTTCATTTCTTCCATTACTTCGCTTTGACTTCTCATGGATTGGTAATATTTAATTTTACCTAATATAGTCTCCCCTTATGGAATGTGAAAATGTTTTCCTATAGTCTTGTATTTTAGGGTGATTACTTTCATTAGTTATGAAAACCTGATTTACTTCTAGGCATTTTACATATGTAATCTTAATTCTCAAAACAACCTGATGATGCGGATATTATTACTTGGATTTTGTAGATGAAATAGAAACTCAGTGATACTAAATTGCCATAGGCCACACAACTATTAAGTAGTAGAGTTGAGATTTGAACCCACATGTAATTCCAGTGTGTGTACTTTCTCCTGTATCTCTCAATAGAGGTATAATTTTTAACTTTGTTATAAAAAACTTCAGTCTTATGAAGTTGGGGGGAAAATATAGTGAATACCCCACTACCTAGATTCACTGATTAACTTTTTTGCCATATTTGTTCCCCCCTTTCTGTGTGTGTGTGCACAACCATTTGAAAGTAAATTGCAAACACCATGAAATATTTCAGCATACATTTCCTAAAAATTAAGGACATTCTTCTAACCCCAATATAATTTCATCAATACCTGTCAAAATTTACAATTCCAGTCCGTATTCAGATTTCCTCATTTGTTCCAAAGTGTTTTTGAATGTTTCTCCGCCCACCTGTAGTCAATCAAGATTCATGCATTGTATTTGGTGATTAAGTCTTTAGTACCATTGTTAAAAAGAATAGTACTCATTCCCATTCCTTTTTTTCTGACACCTAGTTGAGGAAACCTTTTGTCTTGTAGAATACATCCTCATTCTGGACCTGAGCGTGTCCTCTTTTAAGACTCATTTCATTTATTCCTCTATTCCCCCTGAATTTCCTATTAACTGGAAGTTTGGTGTAAAGAAAGGCTTGATTAGCTTAAAGTAAAAATTTCTTTGGCAAGAATATTTAATAGGTGATGCTGTCTACCTCATATTGCATCATATAGGAAAAACATAATGTCAGATTTGCTGCACTGTCAGTGATGCTAAGTGTGACTCCCTTGATTAAAGTGGTGACTGCCAGATCTGTTATAAAGGTGTGGTTTGCCTAATTGTGATTAGTATGTAATCTTGAGGTAATACTTTGACATCAAGCAAATATTCGGTTTCTTTTGCTTAGTGATTTTTTAGTGCATTGATGAATCTTGCTTAAATCAGCTATCTTATTGGAGGTTCTCTGTAAGGAAGAGGTTTCCTTTATTAAGTGGGGGTGAACTAAAAGTTCCTCCTAAAAATGCAGATTAAATGCTTGATTTCATCCCTTTAATTATCAATATTCAGAGTAAAGAGCTGAGGAAATAGTCGCCCCCAATGGTGGCAAATGAGAGGGGTTTTTGTTATTTCTTGGGGTGATATCATTGTAGACTCATGGGGTTTTATTTATTTATTGTTTTATAACCAATTATAGTCATTTTTCTTTTTGATAACCAAATCGTCCCAAATTTGGTCAGTAGCAACCATTTCAAGCTGGCTGCTGTGTCTTTTGAAAACCTGCTCACCATTAATCTTGGAGTGCTTTCTGGCACAAGATATCCAGGGCTTGCCTTATACTTCCTTTGCTCCACATCTGGAAAGGTCTGTTTATCCAAGGAGACTTGGTTCTTTTTAGTGAGAAATGGTATATTAGAAACCAAAATTTGGATGTTTGGCATATTCATTGCTACTGGGTATCATTGCTTTTAGGCCCTTTGAGAGAAGAGAATTTAGAAAGGACTTTTTGCTTGATTAAATAGAGTTCATAGTGATATATCCAGTTCAAATTCAGCATAACAGACTTTTTCTTCTTTAATTCTGTATTTGTTTCTTTTTTCTTAAATGAAAATCTTGGTACTGGAGGCTGGCCAGTTACTCAGTTGGTTAGAGCACAGCTTTATAACCCCAAGGTCATGGGTTCAGATCTCCCCAAAATCTTGGTACTTAATAAAATTAATATATTTCTTTGCTTTCTCTTACTATACACATAAAATCATTTATAAATTACAGTATCAGTATTACTACTATAAAACTTCTGAGTAAAGTTTAAGATTTTTTCACACTTATTTTCATTCTTTGAATATATTACATGAAGGATGTATAATCAGAGTACTATGTTTAAAAGTCACATGAAATACTTTTTTCTGTTTGGTTAGGCTACCAATTTGATACACGGTTCATTGGTTTCATTTTTTATTTTAGGATTTTATTTTATTTTTGAATATGGAAAATATATACTTGGTTCAGTGGTCAAAATAATGTTTTAAAACTGTACCTAAAGAAACCACACACATATTAGTTTTTTAAGACGGAAGAGTTCTTTACCTTTGCCGTGCTCCTTTTAGTATCTATTATGTTGTCATATATCTTAAGTGCAGAAGGATTAGCAGAAGACAAAGTGTTACTTACTTGAAACCACATAGGAGTACTTTTAAATTTTACAGTTAGACTCTGGGTCCTCTGGTAAAGAAAAAGCACTAAAATGAATCTTTAGAAGTTAGCAGAAAAGTATATTTCAGGCTTGCTTTTGCACATGTCGTATTTTTATGTAAAAATTCCATAAAAGAATTACACCTTTTTACTTGAAGATCATATCTTTAGAAAGGCATGTGGTTGGTAGAGGTTTTATGAGTCCGTATACTTTTATGCCACACAACAAAACTGGCATACTTATGCCATCTGCAGATATAAAGGCATTTGGACATGTGATGAGTGGAGATAGCACGTTTTGTTTGGTTGAACCAGATTTGATAGAAATTCTAAATGATGTGGTTTCAAATATTGTGTTCAAATGAAGTTTTAAGAGGGAGCGATGGTTGTCTACAGTAGGTACAACACAAGTTATCAACCAGGGGCTGAAAAGCAAAAACTGCACACAGTGTGTTTTCCTCTTTGTACACCACCACTGCTTTCGGTAATAGAGTGAACATCTGTATTCCTCAGGGAATGGAGTAGGAATAAGGAGATTGTATGCACTATGGACCCATTCACCCTCATTCTGTTGTTAATCTCAGAAAAATAGACTGCCCAATATTATTAGAACACATAAGGTGATTTTTAAAATGCTACAAACAGTTGCATGGGTATGTATAGCAGTGTAAAGGTAGAGCATCTTTGGTAGGCTGAAAGAACTTACATAGTGATGATAATTGCTAACATTTGCTGTGACCTTTCTGTATGCCAGCTGTGCTAAACATTTTATACATCATCTCATTTAAATCTCACATTAACCCTTTGATATTACTACTAGCATCATATTTCACAAGTAAGGAAGCTGTTACCTGGAAAGATTAAATGACTTGACCAGAGTGTTACAACTATTAAGTGGCAGACCCAGGTTTCAAACTCAAGCCTGTCTTCAGAGTTAGGACTTAGCTGTTTTAAAACCTCATAACTAAATCATGAATAGTTTTCAGTCACCATGAATAAGGAACTACATGACTGATGTTTATCGTACAGCAGTATTGAAGATTGCATTCAAGAGCCACATGTGCTTGTTGTGTTTGTTACACATCTTCAGTATATTATTTCCCTTTGTAAGAGGTGTGGGAGTTCCTGACCCTTGCTTCAGAAACTGCATTTAGATACCACTTTAATAAGCATTTAAAAAGTGGAGTATCAAAAATCAAGATGGATTGATGGATGGATAGTTGTGTGATAAAACAAGTATAATAGAATGTTAATGATGAATCTATGTATGGCTATTCAGGCATTCAACTGTAAAATTGTTTAAATTTTGCTGTGTCTGGAAATTTTTATAATAAAATATTGGAGGGAGTGATTAAAAATTTTTATTATAAATCATTATTAACAGCTGTGTAATAACATGCTGTATTCTCCACGTCTGTGTCTACAGTAATCCTCTGAAACTTTTAGTAAGTTATCCTAGCCTTGTAAAGGATAAAAGTCTTTTGTCACTGAAAATGGTCAAGCATCAAAAACTGTTGAAAAGGGGGTTCCTTCATTAGTTAGGAGGTTCCTTACTAATTAGGCTCCTTCCAACGATAAGTTTTTAGTACCCTCGGAAATTTTACATATATTAAGCATAATTATTCCCCCTGTGGTTTCCCAACTTTTTGTAGACTGCTGTTGAGTATAATCTC